CCCCCACCCAGTACAGCGTTTCGCGGCGCCAAGAAGAGCTCCACCGAAGGCCCCAGTGGGACCGCCCGCTTGCGTTCCCTCAACCCATTACGGCACGCCCCTCGCGCGTTTCGGGGCCCACCGAAAGCGGCACCCACAACGCGTTACTCACAATTGCATATGGTTGGGTCCTTCGCCAGGTCTGCCCTGCCGTTATCGGCCCCCGCCTCCTCCCCCCCCTCTCCTCCTCCCCCTCCGCCTCCTCCTCCTCCTGCTCCTCCTCCTCCTCCTCCTCCTCCTCCTCCTCCTCCCCCTCCTCCTCCCCCTCCTCCTCCTCCTCCCCCCTCTCCCCCGGAACGATTTCTGATGGCCCCGGGGCCCGGAAGCGTCCTCCATGCGCCGAAGACAAAGACGAGGTCGCCACCACGCGGCCTCCGCCACTTGGCCGCCATGCGAGTTCCGCCACTGGGACCTCAGGTGAAGCTCCCAATGAGGCAACGAAGCCTGTGAGATGTGCCCAAAGGACACTCCTCCTCCTCCTCCTCCTCCTCCTCCTCCTCCTCCTCGCAGCGCTTTCCTAGGTGATGCTGGGTGGGGGACAGGCGCAAACCTGTGTCCTAGGTGGAGCCCCCCATGGGGCCACGAAACGCTGTCCTGGGTGGGGGAGACGCATGCGAACGCCCCCACTGGAGCCTTCGGTGGAGCTCCCTATGGCGCCACGAAACGCTGTCTTGGGTGGGGGAGACGCATGCGAACACCCCTATTGGGACCTTCGGTGGAGCTCCCCATGGGGCCACGAAGCGCTGTCCTGGGTGGGGGAGACGCATGCGAACACCCCTATTGGGACCTTCGGTGGAGCTCCCCATGGGGCCACGAAGCGTGTCCTGGATGGGGGAGACGCATGCGAACACCCCTACTGGGACCTTAGGTGGAGCTCCCTATGGGGCCACGAAGCGCTGTCCTGGGTGGGGGAGACGCATGCGAACACCCCCACTTGGGCCTTCGGTGGAGCTCCCTATGGGGCCACGAAACGCTGTCCTGGGTGGGGGAGACGCATGCGAACACCCTTATTGGGACCTTCGGTGGAGCTCCCGATGGGGCCACGAAACGCTGTCCTGGGTGGGGGAGACGCATGCGAACACCCCTACTGGGACCTTCGGTGGAGCTCCCTATGGGGCCACGAAGCGCTGTCCTGCGTGGGGGAGACGCATGCGAACACCCCTATTGGGACCTTCGGTGGAGCTCCCTATGGGGCCACGAAACGTTGTCCTGGGTGGGGGAGACGCATGCGAACACCCCTACTGGGACCTTCGGTGGAGCTCCCTATGGGGCCACGAAACGCTGTCCTGGGTGGGGGAGACGCATGCGAACACCCCCAGTGGGACCTTCGGTGGAGCTCCCTATGGGGCCACGAAACGCTGTCCTGGGTGGGGGAGACGCATGCGAACACCCCTACTGGGACCTTCGGTGGAGCTCCCTATGTATGGGGCCACGAAACGCTGTCCTGCGTGGGGGAGACGCATGCGAACACCCCTATTGGGACCTTCAGTGGAGCTCCCTATGGGGCCACGAAACGCTGTCCTGGGTGGGGGAGACGCATGCGAACGCCCCCAGTGGGACCTTCGGTGGAGCTCCCTATGGGGCCACGAAACGTGTGAGGGGTGTGACGACATGGGCGGTGGGGACGATGATGAAGACGATGATGAGGATGAGGATGTGGATGAGGATGATGCTGCAGATGATCATTCTGGCGGAAGAGAGAAGAGGAGGGGGAGGAGGGAGGAGGGGGAGGAGGAAGGAGGAGAGGAACGCGGGGCACCGTCTCTTCAAAACGAGGACCCAACACCACAGGATGGTTGGGAAAAACCTGCCATGGCAACCCTCCCAAACAAAACAAAAAAACATCGCGAACCCTTTCTCGGGGAGAAGCCAGCAGGGGCTTCGCGAACTGCCGCGCAGGTCTTTTCGGGTCGCCCGGCGCCGCGCGGCGCCGAGGGTTCCGGCGGCGTGGGCGCCGGGGCCCTTTGGGCGTTAAAGCTGGCGCGGCGAGGCGGGCGTCGCGGCGCCAGCTGTCCCGGGGGGCGGCGCGTCGCCCGGACTGCCCGCGCGTCGCCGCGGATGTCGAGGGGGCGTTCCCGCGCGGCGCGACGTTGTGAAAAAAACAAGGGGCAAGTGGATTCGCCGCGCGAGGTGAGCTTCGCCCTGCCGCCCGGCAGTGCCCTGCTGGCGGGTGCCCGGCTACGAGAGCTGCGGCGATCAGACTGAGCGCTGAGGTTGTGTCGGGCCGTGTGCGTGCTCCAAGGGTGCGCCCCGAGCCTTTTCTTGGGTCTCGCTCGGGTCGCGCGGTCGCCGGAGCGCGGCGCCCACTTATTGCTTGTGGCACTAGCGGTTCAGAGCCAGCGCCCGCGATGCCTGCTCGCGTCGACGATCCGAATATCGCTGGGCGCGCGGAGCACGTCGACCGGCCAATCGGCAATGCTGAATGCGTCTTCGGCAAACGAAGGGTAGAGTCGACGATTTCACCAACTGTGGAGCGGGCTGGCACCAGTGTGCCGATGGCGCCGTGGCGCTCGACCGTGGCGCCGATCAGACGCGTCGACCTGGTGCGTGCCAAGGCCAGCGATCAGCCTGGGGGTCGGTTACCAGATTTCTTTCTTTCCCACTCTCAGCGACGCCCTACTCCCTGCCCGCCCAGCGCCGCGTCGCCGCGTGCGTCGCCGACGTGCAGCGAGCCGAGACCAATGTGTTCATCTGGCGCGTGATGCAGCTCAACTCAGTTGTTCTGGCCATGAAGAAGACGACCAAGTCTCGTATCGCATTCCCAGCCGTGGAGCGCGCAGGGCAATTCAGCGCGCGCAGCGACGGGTCGTTCGGAGGGGGGGGGGGCAGCGTTCCGCGTGAGATGAGCCGGTTGCACGCGTCTCGGCAAGTGCCGCTGCCCAGGCAAACGGCTGTGCCATTCGTTATGCGCGGCTAGCCGATCGCCTTGGCTGGCGCGTAGACCCTCGCTCGGCTCAGAGTTGCTCGCAGTGTGCGTCGCAGCCGACGGAGTGCAGGCGCGCTTCTTCGCGTTGCGCGAGCCGAGGAGATCGAGGGGCTGGGGGGTGGGGGGGCGTGGTCACGCGATCCCTGCAGATCTCGTCGTCGACGGCGCGTCCTTCGGCGCCTTGCTCGTGGATCTGGCGCGGCCGCCTTCTGAGAGCAGCGCGGCGGCCGCGCGTGGTGGTTGGCCGACCGGGTTCGCAGCGAACGAATCGAGGACCTATTCTGGTGCGACGCTCGGGATATGCGGGCCGACCCCATGACCGCGTGCAGCATGGGCCAGGAGCTCATCTTCAACGTGATTATGGACGGCCGGATCAGTTGCGACCATGGCGCGGTCGAGTTCAGGGGCGACAGGAGGAAAAAGGCCGCCCCGAGCTCCTGGCGCAGTTTCCTCGCCAGGCAGTGAAGACTCAACTCGCGCGACTGCGTCGCAAGGTCGACCACGGTAACTTCGCTCGCAGGTACACGGGTCGACGTGCTCAACGGCCGCGAGATTGTTCGAGTGCTTCTCCAGTTGGCCGTGCCCTCTGAAAAGCAGCAGTTTCATCTATGCTCTACCCATCGTGTGTTTGGCGCGGTCAGCGGAGCGTCCATGCGGGCAAATGTCGAAGGCGCGGTCAGTCGAGCACCCCGGCGGAGGTTAGCCTTTTGCGTCGTGGTCTTCCGCGCGGTCTGCGCATAGACCAACGAGGCGCGGCGGATGTGTTTGAGCACCAGACTCGAACGATAGTCCTTCCTTTCTCATCCCTTCCTTGCTTGGGCCATGCCTTGCCGCGGTTTGCAGGGGTCTTCCATTCGCGCCCGCTGTACTGCTTGCTTTGTTTCGCCACCATTTTCGCATCCATCGTTACGTGCATTTCTCGAGTCTTCTCTTCCTTTTTCTTCTGCGTCTCCTCCTCGTCGTCCTCGTCCTCCTCTTTCTCCTCCTCCCTTCTCGTCTTCGTCCTCTTTTTCCTCCTCTCCTCCTCCTCCGACTCTCTTCTCCTCCTCCTCCTCCTCCTCCTCCTCCTCCTCCCCTCCTCCTCCTCCTCCTCCTCCTCCTCGTCCTCCTCCTCCTCCTCCTCCTCCTCCTCCTCCTCCTCCTCCTCCTCCTCCTCCATTCCTTTTCCGGATGAATCATTTCTCCCCGTCGCATCCCGCGGCTAGTTTTAAGGGCGGGCCAGGCGTTTTGCCTGAGACTTCTACGCAGTTTTTGACCCTGAATCTCAAGCGTTGACAGCAGTTTCATATCTGGAGGGCGGGCAGTTTTCCAAATGTGGTTCTAGCGTTAGCGCCGCGCACATTCGTTTTCAAAAGTGTGTGAGAGCTAAACGGATTGACGGCGGGTGGTTTTCAAAATGTGATTCTCGCTTGAGCGCCGGGCACATTCATTTTCATAATTGTCTGAGAGCTTCGCGGATTGAGGGCGGATGGTTTTGATCTTGTGGTTCTCGCTTCAGCGCCGCGCGCATTCGTTTTTAGAAATGTCTGACGGGTTCGCGGATTGAGGCCGAGCGGTTTTCAAAATGTGACTCTCGCTCCAGCGCTGAGCGCACTCGTCTTAAACATTTGCAACAACTTGACGGTTCGATGGCGGTTCCTTTTCAAACTATGGTTATCGGTGTAGCGCCGCCGGCATTCGTTTTCAAACATTTGCCAGGCTTTCGCGGATTTCCATGATCAGCGCACCAGAAATGGTGTTTGGAAGGGTTCAATATGAAATGCAACCGTCACGTTGGTTCGCGGTTTTGAAGTCCCGGAAATGGAATTGTGGCGCGGTTCAAGATCCTCCAAACGCAACAGTTAGGTTGATCCGTGGCGTTGGGATCTCCGGAAGAATGTTTCGCCTCCTCCTCCTCCTCCTCCTCCTTCCTCCTCCCACTTCTCCCTCCTCCTCCTCCCCTCCTCCTCCTCCCCCTTCCTCCTCCGCCTCCCTCCTCCTACTCCCCCGCCCCTGCCTTCCCCCCCCCCCGCGGCAAAACGGAAGCGACCCGCAGCGTTCTCATGGTGGCCCCGGTCAACATACCCAAGGGCCTCTGGGCGCGGGCCCCGGCGGCCCGCCCCGCGTGCCGTGGCCGTTCGGCGCCGCCGTCGCCGTCGCCATCGCCGTCGCCGTCGCCGTCGCCGTCACCGTCGCCGTCGCCGTCACCGTCGCCGTCGCTGGCACCGGCGCCGTCGCCGCCGCCGTCTTCGGCGACGACGACGACGTCGTCGTCGACGACCGCGACGACG